TCAATTTATATTTTTTATGTTTGGCTTGCTGTCCATGAGGGAGGGTCCAAGCTCAAGACTTTGAGCCCGAAGTAACCCATAGGACTTTCCTTGATTGTTTTTTGTGGCAACCAGCCAAGGAGGTGGAGTTTTGGTGGCGGAGGGATGCCGGAAGTATAAGGCTTATACGCTTGTTCATGCACTGATTGATCAGACTGCAGCGAGCCTTTTAACGTCCACTGGAAGCTGACAGCGTAGCCTTAACCGAACTTTTGGCCATGCGGTCCGAGGAGAGACGGCCTCCCCCTGTGGCTCCCAATGATTCTTCTGCGTTTCCCTTTCATCTTAAGTGCTGATTTACAAACAAAATCTTGGGGTTTGGCTGTGGTTCTGTGTATATGTGTCTAGTAAGGTGGTGGTAGGGGAAACTACACAGCTGGTACTCATTAGCTCTTGGACACAATTATCAAACCATCCCAGGCTTACTTTGTTTTCAGGAGTGAACGCTTGAGGTTGTTTGCTTGTAGTTAAATTCACATTGAAACTAGTTGCTGGGTAATAAGTGCTGGGTAAAGAGTGTGGGACGTGGTGACAAACACATCCGCGATTACATCACAGGCCCGGCCAAACCGCACCGAGTTGAACTTTGCAGCTGTCAGTGATCCACCTTACTGACAGGGCCAGCCTCACTGCACAAAAGATCTCAATTAAGTTTTTTCTTCAGATCGGTTGTCCTCAACCGGCTCCGAGCAATGAGCGTTGATCTTTCCAGCTCCTTTTATAATTTACAGCCTGTCCTCACATTCCAGTAACCTGTGGTTTGAGTCAATAAGTTGTAGATCATTTGTTTTATTGGTTTATTTAGCCCCTCATGCTGGGCCATTGGTGGGCCTTTCCTGGCGGTGGTGTAGTGGTTTTACAGTGATGTCACAGGCCTGCTATGCATCCGCAGGGAGACTTCCACCACCCACTGATGCTGTAGGTAGCATTACTCCAATGATCTCATCAAATCAATGATAACTACACACTTGGAGCCTAGAAGCCAGTCTGAAGTGTTGGATCTTCCCTTGTGAAAAACAAGAACACTTTAGCATACTATAAAAAAGAGGACTTTTTAGAATAGACTTAAGTGCGAACTGAATGCAATGTTAATTGCAATTAAATGAAAATGCATTGCAGTTAAAATTTCTATTAAAATCTTAGAGTGCGTTTGCACCCACTTCAGTTGCCGATTATTTATTGTTTTATTTCAGTTTTTTACAATTAATACAACAGCACTGAACTGAACAAACTGTTTAAATAAAATAAATAAATAATAAAAAAACGATACCTGATTATGGTTAAATGCTTAAATATCGGGAAACGTATAGTTGAAACCGATTATCGGTTGATCTCTAGTAATTATTCATACAACTACACGTTATGAGCCTAGAAGCCAGTCTAACGTGTTGGATCTTCCCTTGTGAAAAACAAGAACACTTAAGCATAGACTTAAGTGCGAACTGAATGCAATGTTAATTGCAATTAAATGAAAATGCATTGCAGTTAAAATTTCTATTAAAATGCAATCTGACAAACCTTAGAGTGCGTTTGCACCCACTTCAGTTGCCGATTATTTATTGTTTTTTTTCTGTTTTTGACAATTAATACAACAGCACTGAACTGAACAAACTGTTTAAATAAAATAAATAAATAATAAAAACCGATACCTGATTATGGTTAAATGCTTAAATGTTGGGAAACATATAGGTGAAACCGATTATCGGTTGATCTCTAGTAATTATTCATACAACTACACGTTATGAGCCTAGAAGCCAGTCTAAAGTGTTGTATCTTCCCTTGTGAAAAACAAGAACACTTTAGCATACTATAAAAAAAGACTTAAGTGTGAACTTAAGTGTGAACTGAATGCAATGTTAATTGCAATTAAATGAAAATGCATTATAATTAAAATTTCTATTAAAATGCAATCTGACAAACCTTAGAGTGCGTTTGGACCCACTTCAGTTGCCGATTATTTACAATTAATACAACAGCACTGAACTGAACAAACTGTTTAAATAAAATAAATAAATAATAAAAAACGATACCTGATTATGGTTAAATGCTTAAATATCGGGAAACATATAGGTGAAACCGATTATCGGTTGATCTCTAGTAATTATTCATAAAAACTACACGTTATGAGCCTAGAAGCCAGTCTAACGTGTTGGATCTTCCCTTGTGAAAAACAAGAACACTTAAGCATAGACTTAAGTGCGAACTGAATGCAATGTTAATTGCAATTAAATGAAAATGCATTACAGATAAAAATTTTATTAAAGTGCAATCTGACAAACCTTAGAGTGCGTTTGCACCCACTTCAGTTGCCGATTATTTATAGTTTTATTTCAGTTTTTTACAATTAATACAACAGCACTGAACTGAACAAACTGTTTAAATAAAATAAATAAATAATAAAAAACGATACCTGATTATGGTTAAATGCTTAAATATCGGGAAACATATAGGTAAAACCGATTATCGGTTGATAATTATTCATGTAATTATATAAATTAATTACATATACCATTACATGCAGGTATTTTTCAATGTAAGCACAATGTAAAAACATATGTTCACAGTAATTGAACTACATGTGCACATTCAATACAATTAAGCACATATTTTCAACTAAGGCTTTCCGTTACACTAGCGTATGATGTTCATCCTTTGGTTTGAAGGCTTTTTGCATTGCACACACATGGAAAAAGTGCATTCTGTGCATTCAGGGAAAAAAGTGCTACCTGCGGTTGCAATGCTTGGAAATGCAATATCGCTTTATTCCTTGAGGGACCAGATCATACATGACGCATCAACAGATCTCTTGGTCAGATGCTTCATTATTTTTCCGTGTGGTTTCCATAGTGTCTCCAATTACACGTATCATATTTCATATGGTCAGGAGATTGGGCGAAACATGGTGTCCTTGTCTAATGTCATGATGTGTACAGCTCTATTTTTAAGCGAGGTTTGATTAAAATCACTTTCACAATATTCTCAAAACAGTGAACAGAGAGAGATGTAAACAAAACTCTTCTTGCTAGAAAATTAAATAAATGGCAGGTTTGTGTGATATTCATAATTGAAAATCATACAAGATTGGAATTGCATGAAAGTGTATGATGACAGAATTTTAGTTTTTGAGAAAGAAAGACAAAACCATCATAATTCATAATGGGAAATTCAGAGTTTTTGCGGTTGAGAATCTTAAGAATCTTGAGAATCTTCAAATGTTGTGTAATTGCCAGAATGCTGCCCCGCCGAAGCCCTGATTCACGCTCTAATTGCATTATAAATAATATATTATATATAATTTGAAGTATAATGATATACTGTACACTCTTAGAAGAAAAGGTTCTATCAGCCCCTAAAAGGTTCTATACACTCTTAAAAAAGGGTTCCTCTGGGTTCTTTATAGAACCCTGGGGTTCCGTACTTGGCCAATAGAACCTTTTACCAAAAAAAAAATTGGTTCTATATAGAACCATTTTGGAGTTCCAAATATGAAGCGGGGGATGGAACCATTTCTGGTTCTAAATAGAACCATTTCTTCTAAGAGTGTATGTAATGTATAAGGACAAGTCCAGTCATCTTCATTACTATAGTGCTTTATACACTACAGATTGTTTCAAAACAGCTGTACAGGGATAAACATTCCAGGATTTTTCTCCATATAATGGACTTCAATGGGGTCCAAACGGTTCAATGTCCAAAAGACAGTTTCAGTGCAAACTGTTCAAAGGGCTTTAAACGATTCCAGACGATGAATAAGGGTCTTATCAAGCGAATCGATCGCAATAAAGAAAAAAAGAAATTAAGGTTTTTGATGAAAACATTCCAGGATATTTTCAAAGGCCAGTTTAAACAAAGTTTAAGTTTTATAAGCTCAAATGCTCGCCTTTCTCTGTTCTGTGACACGCGTTCGTGACTCTCCTGTTCAAACTGGTTCATCAAAATGAACGAATCTTTTCCAGAGTCAACTCGTTCATTTCGTTTCGTTGAATGAACCAAATGACTCATTTCGAATGCTCATCACAGAACAGAGCAAGGCGAGCATTTGAGCTTATAAAACTTAAACTTTGTTATTTATTTTTTAAATGAGCGATCGTTTCGCTTGATAAGACCCTTATTCATCGTCTGGAATCGTTTAAAGTCCTTTGAAGCTGCATTGAAACTCTCTTTTGGACCTTGAACCGTTTGGACCCCATTGAAGTCCATTATATGGAGAAAAATCCTGGAATGCTTTCATCAAAAACCTTAATTTCTTTTCGACTAAAGAAAGAAAGAAAGACGTGGACATCTTGGATGACATGGGGGTGAGTAAATTATCAGCAATTTTTTTTTTTAAGTGAACTACTCCTTTAATTGATTTCGGCCGTCCAGCAACTCTAAAAGAAAATAGTGTCATTGTTCAGCTAAAGTCAGTTCAGTGTTGATTATGTTAAAAATGTAAGTATAAAATTAGTTTGATTCATCTTTAAAGTAGCTCTGCAGAAAACAGCTAAAGCTGCAGGAAGCCCGCAGAGCTAACTTGATCCATTTTGATGGATGACACCGAGAAATGTACATGGGGGAACTCTTATATCCAATAAGAGGACAGCTTTACTCACATGTGACTAGCATAAACTTGTTTGAAATTTTGCCTGAACAAATGAAGTCCTCAAAGCAAACGATCTACAGGTCCGAAAACGCTCTTCGTTCTAGTCATCCACAGTCGTCATGGTTTCTCATTAGTTTCCTGTTTCTGTTGATTGGCTTCCTGTTATTTAATCCTTCTGTCTTTCTCCGTTCAGGGTCTTGTGTTGAAGTTAAGGTCTATTGCTGTAGTGTTCATGGTGTTTATTAAATCTTATTTCATCGTTTTTCTACGTCATGCATGTTTGTTTGGATTATCACTACAGCTAAACAATGACATGTTGAACGTTTACAAAAGTTAAAAAATGCCATTTCCTGTTTTTGTTTACGTTTCCCATCCGCAGACATGCCAGTCCAAGATGTTTGACCTCTCTGATGGAGTGTCCCAGTACGCCTGGTTCCCATGTGATCAGGCTCAGGGGGTTCCCTGGTATCCCCAGTACTGGTTGAGGGTGAGATTTTTATTTCATTTTATTTATTAATTTTTTTCTTTGTATTTAAAACATTTTCAGACCTTTTTTTAAAAAAATAATTGAATTGATGCAATCTTTTGAACTCTTAGCATGAGAACAAACTGAGGTTTCTACTTTTTTTTCATCACTATTTCAAAATAAAGGTACTTAAAGGTACTGTTCAGTACTTAAACAATGCCCAAGTATGACTCAGTTTAATAAGCATTGTAAAAATATGATATTTGCAAGGTATAGAGAGGATGAAGGTGATTAGTTAGGTGATAGTTTATTTATATATTTTTAATTTTTTTTCTCTCTTTTTATTATTATTAGTTTTATTTATCTTCTCTTATGTAATTTTTTTTTGAAGATGTATATACACATAGGTAGATATGTATGTTGTTTTTGTTTTTGGTGTGTAGAGACAAATAGATCAAAATATTCGGTCAACCGGTTAATTAGTTATAATTAGTTGAAAATGGGGTAGGATTGAATAAGCTTATGCTTCTTCCTACTCCTTTTCGGACATGTATAAGTTAAAAAATTTGTTGTTTTTTTTGTTTGTTTTTTGTTTTTTGTTTTTTTTTCTACATGTTCGAAATAAAAACTTTTCATTCATTCATTCATTTTCATTCATTCATTCAAAGGTCTGAACACGCTTTAGGTGAATGAAAATATTCTTGTTGCAAATTGGAAACTAGAGATTGTAAGCTTTAAAATGAATAGTTTGTCAATATTAAGATTAGGGCTGTGCAAAAATGAGTTGCGATGAATCGCATCCAAAATAAAAGTCTGTGTTTACATAATATATTTGTGTGTGCTGTATATAATTATTTTCTATAAATAAATACACACGCATGCATGTATAAATTTAAGAAAATGTGTTATTCATATATAAAATATTTATATTTATATAATATAGATTTTGTATTATATATATATATATATATATACAGAATTCTTAAATATATACATGCATGCATATGTATTTATATATACAAAATAATCATACACAGCACACACATATATTATGTAAACACAAACTTTTATTTTGGATGCGATTAATCGCAATTAATTTTTGCACAGCCCTAAATAAGATATAATTGTTTTAAAAATATAATGGCGGGACGCTTACAGTTCCATGTGATGTGGTTCTCTGAAGGTTAGACCCATGTCTCAACTAGACTTCTGCATAAATGTAAACCAGTTCTTGTCTCCAACAGGCATATTTCTCACACCCTATGGTTGCTGCGGCTGTTATCATCCATTTAGCCGCAGATGGAACGAGCTTCATCGACCAAGCCCAGTGCAACATTACAGTCCAGCTGATCGACACCAAAGAGGCCATCCACAGCTTAGGTGCGATCTGGTGACGTTGCACAGTTTGACTTGGACTCTAATATTGGCGATTGTCTAAATACGTCTATTACTTCCCCCTGTAATGTCCAGGTGACTGGCGTTTGAGCTGCCGCACCAATCCTCTGGTCATCCCAGTAAGTCATGACTTGAGCATGGCCTTCTACCACACCAAAGCCATTCTCCTGAAGTTCCGCTCCGACCTCGTGGCCATCTCCGGTGTCGGCCTGCGCTCTTTCCAGTTCTTCGACCCAATCACCATCAGCGGCTGTCAGAGCAATGAAATATACAACCCCATGGGCCAGAGGTGAGCCGAGTCAAACCACGGCTTTCATTGACCTCTCACATTCGTAGAAGAAAAGCTTCTGTATAGAATCGTAAAAAGGTTTCGTCAGGTGCTATCGTCTTTTGGATTTAGTTTTCATTTCATTTTATGAATTAAAGCGCTCGTACACAGTTGGGGAAAAAAGAAATTTCCCATGTAATATGATGCATACTTTTAACTCATGTTATCATTTTTGGCATAAAGCGCTCTTAAAAATGTAATCAAGAACCCTAAAGTTGTTCCAAGATGTCCATGTCTTTCTTTCTTCAGTCGAAAAGAAATTAAGGTTTTTGATGAAAACGCAGGATTTTCTCCATATAATGGACTTCAATGGGAACCAAACGGTTCAAGGTCCAAATGAGAGTTTCAGTGCAAACTGCAAACTGTTCAAAGGGCTTTAAACGATTTCAGACGATGAATAAGGGTTTTATCAAGCAAAACGATTGCTCATTTAATAAATAAATAACAAAGTTTAAGTTTTATAAGCTCAAATGGTCGCCTTGCTCTGTTCTGTGATGCGCGTTAGTAGTAGTAGTAGTAGTAGTAAAATCTTTATTTGTCCCTTTACAGGGCAATTTAAGTAGCTTCAACCTCACAAAAACAGCAAAACATCACAGACATTACACACACCAGAAAAAAAAAAAAAAAAAAAAAAAAAAAAAGTGACTCTCCTGTTCATCAAAATGAACGAATCTTTTTTCATGTCATTTGGTTCATTCAACGAACGAAATGAACGAATTGACTCGGGAAAAGATTTGTTCATTTTGATGAACGAGTTCGAACAGGAGAGTCACGAACGCTCATCACAGAACAGAGCAAGGCGAGCATTTGAGCTTATAAAACTTAAACTTTGTTATTTATTCATTAAATGAGCGATCGTTTCGCTTGATAAGACCCTTATTCATCGCTGAGCCAGAGCGATCTCACGCCACAGCGCCAAAACACTATTTATGTTTTTGAATTTCTAAAGAAAATGGACGTAATTTGAAAATTGAGACTTTGTTTCATATCAATAGTAACAAAGGACAACGATTATTGCGTTTGTTTTGATGCGCGCAGCCGCGATACAATGTCCCATTCATTCAAATGAAACAGAATGACTAATCGATTCTTGAGATTTAAGAATCGATATCGGTTCGTAAAAATGAGAATCGATTAATACCGAGAAATCAATATTTATTACCCAGCCCTACTAAATAGCGTATTTCTCTCGTCTCAGGGGAAAATTTGAGAGCGTTGCACGGATATGCAATAGTATGACTCGATTTCTAACAATGGAAATCTTAATGCAAATGGATGGAGTGTTCCTTTAATATAAAATATCTCCCACATTTATCAGCCAAACAGTATTCTCAAACAGTAGAATAGCTATCTTTAACAGTAAAATGACAAAATCTTCTGTATTTTTGTCTTGTTTTCTTAGTAAAATAAGTATACACAATGTACAGGTAAGCTACACATATCTGAGAAAAAAAAAGTCTTGTTTTCAGAGACATGGGGTATGAAAAATACACATAATTCAAAGAGAAAACAAGTTATTTTTTCTGCCCCACTGCCAAATACCTTTCTTTATTGCTTTAACTGTATTACACCCAATAGTTTAATTGGTCAGAAAAATGCTGGAAATGGTCATGAACAACTCAATTATGAAATGTTAGTGTATTTTTTTATAAAAAAAAGTTTCAAATGACATCTGTTTTGTATTGTTTCCTAATGTTTCCAAGGCATACCGTTCATTTTAGTCTGTCTGTACCACATGTACATGTGGAAACTACAAAAACGCAACAAAACTAAATACATTTGAAAACATAAATGACTTGTGTATATATAGCTCCGATCTGTATACATCCATTCTGTTCTAAAGCTCATGTACGAATGTGCAATAAACATAATTTGCTTGATTTATAGAATGAGGTCATTTTGAAAGAGTTCCATTTGCATTCAGTTAAAGCAGAAAAGTATTTGTTGGCCATGAATAAGCTGTCCCCTGAATGCAGAGTGACGCTGTATCGACAGCAGTTTGATTTGCTTCAGGTCCATCGTGTACTTTATTGAGTGGTTGATTTCCTTCAGATGAAACTCATATGAATATTCAGACGTTGCAAACTATATTTATCAGTCAGTATTTCATATGGAATCATCTGCGGATGCCTTTGTCCACCAGCTAATACCGCCCGATACGAAATGCATGTCCCTGCTCCCAATGTTTTTAACAACAGGGTCCATTAACATGCTTTGGTGTTATGTGTCCCTTCCCTTCTAAAGCATTAGTTTAATGTATTCAGAGGGCTGTGTTTGGCTCTGGGATTTGGCTCACTGGTTAATGGGTGTACCATACATTAATTTGCAAACTAATAAGATGAATTTAGGCCAATAGTAACAATGGTAAACTAAAAAAATTCTTAGTTTTGGATTCTTTGCTTAAAGGAGTAGTTCACTTTTAAAAAACAACTTTTGCTGATAATTTACTCCATATCTTTCTTTCTTCAGTCGGAAAGAAATTAAGGTTTTTGATGAAAACATTCCAGGATTTTTCTGCATATAATGGACTTCAATGGGAACCAAACGGTTCAAGGTCCAAATGAGGGTTTCAGTGCAAACTGCAAACTGTTCAAAGGGCTTTAAACGATTCCAGACGATGAATAAGGGTCTTATCAAGCGAAACAAGCGGCGATTTAATAAATAAATAACAAAGTTTAAGTTTTATAAGCTCAAATGGTCGCCTTGCTCTGTTCTGTGATGCGCGTTCGTGACTCTCCTGTTCATCAAAATGAACGAATCTTTTTTCGTGTCATTTGGTTCATTCAACGAACGAAATGAACAAGTTGACTCTGGAAAAGATTCTTTCCTTTTGATGATCGAGTTCGAACAGGAGAGTCATGAACGCACATCACACCTTAACCCTAACAGAGCAAGTGACCATTTGAGCTTATAAAACTTAAACTTTGTCATTTTTTTTTTTTAAATGACCCCTCGTTTCGCTTGATAAGCCCCTTATTCATCGTCTGCAATCGTTTAAAGCCCTTTGAACAGTTTGAAGTCTGCACTGAAACTCTCCTTTGGACCTTGAACCGTTTGGTTCCCATTGAAGTCCATTATATGGAGAAAAATCCTGGAATGTTTTCATCAAAAACCCCAAAGTTTTTTTTAAAAAGTGAACTACTGTGGTTTATACCGCATGACATCAATATATCACGTTGAATGCTAAAATCTTAACGTTGCATCATGTGTGCTTTGATATCTTATACCGATAAAAATAAGACACAAAATTGATTGAGCAAATGCTTACAATAAGCTATTGGGGTAAATGGGTTGTCAAATAGCTTTTTGTGACCTTTATATCTATATTTTAAGGGAAAGTGGTCTTATGGTCATTTGTTTTTACAAATAGTTCATTTTAAATGGTTCTGCAATGCAATAAAAACATTTAAAGTACACAATTGCATGTAATTATTAAAAATGCATCCACAATAGAGAATTTGACTCTCTTGTTGAAAACATAGCATGTCACAGGACAGCTGAAACTTCATGAAGTGATGTTTGTGACATGTCTAAAATCATTAGATACGTGGCGACCACAGTCTGTCGTGTATGTCTCCTGAAGTGCGTCATGGTCGAAAGCCCACCTCTTCCCTTCGTCCTACGGGGTTTCGTGGCTTTAGCTGTTTAGCTTAGCTGTGTTTTCCAGTGACATTATACGATTTTACTTGTTAAGTGTGATGTTGTGCTACCGAGACTGTGTGTGTGGTGTGCTGCTTACACTCTGGTAAGTTTAATACTGTGTGTTGTGGGAAGTTTGGTTGGATTTAACTTGAGCTACAGTATGTGTTTCAGTGCGGTGTGCCTCCCATCTGTGCGGCGTAACAGTTTAACATAACTCGGGTCTGTCTTATAGCCACTACAGAAGGTATTATATGACTTACTGTATAAGTGCGCCGTGAGTATTACGTCATCAGGCCACGGTAGCTAAATTGTTTTGTAAGAGCTAGATAATCTCGCATGCCTTCTAAATTGAGGTCGAAATGTCTGTTTGTTGATCTTAAGGTCCTTTTTACATGCTGAGAGAGAGCAGTCACCTTAACAAAGCTCTCTCCCAAACCCTCGTTCTTTGAGCCATGCTGCTTTTGGGGTCCAGTTACGAACCCCTGTTTTAAAGTGCCCGTTGGTACATAAAAGGACAAGCGAGGCGGTTTAAACATTTATTATAAGGTTAAATAACGAATCCACAATCTCGCGCATCAGGCAACTGATGAAACTGATGAATATACTAAAATATACTTAACAAAGAAAATCTAATAATCAAACAGAACGGCTTGTCTTCCACTGCGTGCCTCATTCGGTTTCACTCTCGTTTTACACTTTTGACCCCCTTTCGCCTTAATTCTCCATGGCATTGATTCAACAAGGTGCTGAAAGCGTTCTTTAGAAATGTTGGCCCATATTGATAGGATCGCATCTTGCAGTTGATGGAGATTTGTGGGATCGAAGCTCCCGTTCCACCACATCCCAAACATGCTCTATTGGGTTGAGATCTGGTGACTGTGGCGGCCATTTTAGTACAGTCAACTCATTGACATGTTCAAGAAACCACTTTGAAATGATTCATGGTGCATTATCCTGCTGGAAGTAGCCATCAGAGGATGGGGACATGGTGGCCATAAAGGGATGGACATGGTCAGAAACAATGCTCAGGTAGGCCGTGGGATTTAAACGATGCCCAATTGCCACTAAAGTGTGCCAAGAAAACATCCCCACACCATTACACCACCACCACCAGCCTGCACAGTGGGAACAAGGCATGATGGTCCATGTTCTCATTCTGTTTACGCCAAATTCTGATTCTTCAAAAACAGAAATCGAGACTCATCAGACCAGGCAACATTTTTATTGTCTTCAATTTTGCCGAGCTTTTGTAAACTGTGGCCTCTTTTTCCTATTAGTAGTGGAGATGAGTGGTACCCGGTGGGGTCTTCTGCTGTTGTAGCCCATCCGCCTCAAGGTTGTGTGTGTTGTCTGCATACCTCGGTTGTAACGAGTGGTTATTTCAGTCAAAGTGTCTCTTCTATCAGCTTGAATCAGTCGGCCCATTCTCCTCTGACCTCTCGCATCAACAAGGCATTTCCGCCCATTTTCACTGGATGTTTTTCCCTTTTCACTCCATTCTTTGTAAACCCTAGAAATGGTTGTGTGTGAAAATCCCAGTAACTGAGCAGATTGTGAAATACCACGCTCAAAATTGCTTAAATCCCCTTT